ACCACTTGCTCGATTCTCTCTTCCTATTGCCTAAGGGGACACGGATTATGCTCCCTATGTTCAACTTGTTTCATCAACCTGTTTCCTCCATCTGATTGTTTCATGCTTTCTGGTGAGAAGTCTCCTCTGTTCGGTTGTTTTGGTATTCTACATTAAACCCAGGGCCCTGGCACCGAGCTATATTGCCAGCCCTTAACATTTTAAAAATTAATATTTTGAGACAGGTTCTTGTTAAGTTGATAAATTGCTCAGGCTGGGCACCAGCTCGAAGTCTCTCCATCTCAGGCTCCCAGAGTGCTAGAATTACAGGCGGGTGCCACTGTCCTCCGTTTTTATCCTTCTCCTCTCTCCCTTTCTTCTAGCCCTCCAGGCACTCTAGAATCTAAAATATGTTGGTGGAAAATATGGACGATAAAGCAGAAGTTCCAGTCTTCTGAGAGACTAGTGACTTGGTCCACAGGCACAGCATCCATGGCTGTGGGACAGGGCCGGAAACGATGGCACAGAGGGCTCCGTGCAACAGGGAGAGCTGCAGGCTTTGCACACTGCGGTCATCTACTGACAAGTGAGAGCTTGGGGCACAACCACTGGGCCCCTTGAGAAGGCTGGGCGAGGGGGTGCACTCCCTTTCCATGATACTTCAAAAGTCCCAAGTCCACACATTTCCTCATCAAAGTAAGAAGTGGGGTCATCACTACTTGCAAACCTATACAGCTAAGAGACCAGAGAGGTCCTTTCCACAGGATGGAGCCCCATCCCCAGTCTGAAGGGGTCAGCGTAGGCTCAGCCGGAGGCCGGCGTGTAGGAATGCAGTGCAAAGGCCAAGTCGGAGGTACACATGACTTCCTGTGAAGTTCCCATTCATAAAGCAGTAGCCATTTGTCAAAGATTTTAGCAATATTCTCTCTGTGTTAAAGCTCGTTAGCTTTTGGTTTGTGGCAAGAGGACTAGAAATATGCACCGTGCTTGTAAAGTTATTAGCCATCAGTTTATGACCCCAGGACTAAATAATCACTTGTACTATTCTTTTCCATACTTACTCTTTAACTCAGTGGCCTTAAATCAAGAATAATGAGAAAAAAATTACCTCTAAGATTTGTACAGCTATTTTCAGTTCCCCTCCTATTATTTTGGGATACAGCAGTGTATTTTAAAGGTTTATGTGCAGGAAATATATCCATACCAGTTGTGTTCTCTCAACTTCCCTACCATGAGCCCAGGTGACCCCAAGGCTTTGAGGAACTGAAGTAGGGCTCCAGCTCCACAGAAGACAGCCCACAACCCTACTCTTCCTAATTTGCTTTGTAAAAGTCTACTCTACCTTTGAGGAAAAGCTAATTTCTAAATTATTTTCAGTGCTACTGTTCATTTTCAAGACTAACACTATTTGGATACCAGAACTCATTAGAGAATCCCAAAAACAACAGTAATGATGGGCAATTGCTATTATAATTAATTTTTTATTGAACTCAGGGCCCTGTGTGCATCCTAAACATATACTCTATCACTGATCCACTCTTCCAAACCCAGTTACAAATATTATCCTAAATAAAAGATACGTTGAACCAAGCATGGTATTAAAAAAATATTACAGCATCCAGAGCAGAGTTTACTTTGGGAATGTAAGAATGGATTGACAAATAGGTATTAATGACGCAGAATAAAAACTGATTATGAGTCTAAGGGACAGTTGATAAAATTTAACATTCTTGCCCAACTAAAAGCTTATGGTAATCTAGGAATAGAAACAAATTTGTTTAAAGAAAATAATGTTTTTAAAGAATATCTAACATCAACGAGGGACACATGCTTGTTTGATTGCATTAAAGCTAAATGTTCATTATCTTCTTCTATATGCTTCAAATTTTTTCTTAAGTTTTGGCCAATGTAATAGAAATGAAGAAAATTATATTATTTGCAGGTGATGTGACTGTCTATGCAAAATTCAGAGAGATCAGCTGATAAAGTTTTAAAACTAATAAGACATTTCCATAATGTAGTATGATAAATACACAAAGAGAATAAATTTCCTAAATCACAGAATACCTCATTGACAAAAACTATAATACATCTGGGAACAAATTTCACAAGAATTGTCAAATTTATATGCAATATATATTTAAAAATGTATTTATAGATATTAAAGCCCCAGGGATTGGGATTGTTATGGCTTGTATCTAGATGGGGCTTTTCAGAGGTGCCTGGATCATGGGTGTGTGTAATGTTAAATTAGGGTGTGTGATACTGAGATTAAGGGTATTATAACTAAGTTAGTTTAGCATTGTTCTGGGCATGGAAAATGGAAGCCTCACCTTGGGTGTGGGTGATACCAATCAATAGGCTTATAACCTGGATGGAATTTAAAGGGACAGATGAAAGGCAGGCTTGCTGCCACCTGTCTGCTCTGCCATGGACTGTTTCTCCACTGCCATGTCCCTTCCCATGCCACCCTGACTTGGAGCTAGCTGACTATGGACTAAAACCTTTACAAACTGTGAGCTGAAATAATCCTTTTCTCCTTTAACTTGTGGGTGTTGGGTATTTTGACTCAACAATAAGAAAAGTAACTAAGACGGGGTGTAGCTCAGTGATATGGTGCGTGGTTGGCAGGCGTGAGCCCTGGGTTCAATTCCCAGCACAATAAAAGATGATCTAACATGAAGAGATGTGTTCCTGAATGGGAATGCATTATTTTGAAAAAACTTGAAAGCAAAGAAAATTAGGAGAGAGGATTCTTTGTGAAAGAGCAAATGTATTACAAAATTTTAACAATTATGACAGTGTGGCATAGCATAAGAATAAGCAGATAGTTAACAGAATATATAACAATATTCAGAAACAGATCTAGCTGTGAATATGCAAATTCACCTTTCTGATTATTGGTGACTCTCCAAAGTAATAGGAAAAGAATTGATTCTTCAATAATGATATTAAGGTACTTGTGAAATGTTTGGCAAAATTTCCATAATCTCTTATAAAACAATTTCATTTCTAAGAATTAATTCCAGAGGTTAATAGATAAATGTGAAAACAATATCTGTACAAGAATGAGGTTAAGGCAGGATGTTGTGGCTTGTGTTTGGATATCCCCCCAAAGCCTCAAGCAGATGAGGCAGGGCTTTCTTTTTCAGAGGTGGCTGAATCTGGATTGTGTGATGCTGGGATTAAGGGCGTGTGATTACCCAACCACTACTGTGAATGGCTAGTTTGGCCCCGCCCTGATCCTGGTAGTCTGGATGGGATAAAAGGGGCAGAAGGATGCTCTTAAGGTCCCTGTTGCTTTTGCTACCATGTGGGTGCCATGAACTGTTTCTCCTCTGTGATGCCTGTCTGCCATGCCACCCTGCCTTAGAGCCAGCCAATTATGGACTGAAACCTCTACAAACTATAAGCCAAATAAACCTTTCCCCTTTAAATTTGGGTGTCAGGTATTTTGTCTCAGCAACGAGAGAAAAGTAGCTAACACACTGGACAATCACAAGTTTGAGCCCAGCAATTTAATGACTTAGTGAGACCCTGCCTCAAAAAAAAAGGCTGGGGATATAGTTTGATGGGTTCGAGCTCCAGTACCGTGAGAGAAAAGAAAAAGGTTTATTGTAGTATTTTTTGCAGTAGTATAAAATTGAAGACCACTTGAATTTGTCATAGATTTTATCAAATGTGTGTGCATGTAGCACACGTACAAACCATGGAATGCCAATAGTGTACTTTAAAATAATAGATCTTTTTCAATACCAGAGATCGAACCCAGAGACACTACCACTAAGCTACAGTCTCAGCCTATTTCTATATTTTTCTGTCATTTTCAGACAGGGTTTTGCTTAGTCGCTAAATTGCACAGACTTGGGCTCAAATTCAAAATCCTGCCTTCTAGAGAGCTGGGATTAAAGGTGCGAACCATCAGGTCAGGATCCTTTTTATGGCCCAGGCAGGACTCCCTTATGATGTTCCTGCCTCAGTCTTCCTAAATACTGGGATGACAGGTGTGTGCCACTGTGCCAGATTCCATACTGTTGTGGACAGATATCACATATTAAATGAAAACTAGTTTCATATCTGTAGGTATTCCTCGATTTTTTTTTTTTTTTTGTAGTCTGGAACCCAGGGCTTTTGTGCTGAACTACACCCCCAGCCCTTTTAAAAAGTTTCTTTTTCTTTTATTTCGAGACAGGTTCTCATTAAAGCGCTAAACTGCCTGGGCCGGACTGGAACTTGTGATCCTCCTGCTCGGTTTCCCAGAGTGCTGGGATTACAGGCTGCACTATCATGCCCGGCTTCTTTGATTACATTTTAAAAACACGTCCATAAGAATTACATAATCAGCGTTTCATTTTCGTTTCCTATGTACAGATACTACTGCATCGCTAAGACTGTTCCACTTGGGTTGTCTGTTTCTGGGTAACTGCAGTTTTCGCTTAAACATCTTGGGACAGGTTTTAAGGAACTCTATCCCAGGTAAGCACACTCTTATAAAACCTCTGCTTGCCGTACAAGCTATGAACCGCACCGCACCTTTCAATTTCACTTATTTACTCCTTGCCTTCTCTAGATTCTAGAGCCCGAGAAAGCAGGGTTAACGCTCCCTTGGACCACAGCAATTCACGATCTCTCATTTAACACTGATTATATGTCGGACACCGCGCTAGCTGCTTCCGATAGGACAATATTACTACGCCTTTACGTACAACTATTATCACTTTCCCGTGAGGGTGAGGAAACGAAGCCTGTCCCAAATATCATACGTCCAGGTAGATTAATTCCCAGGGTATTTGACTCCTGGCCACGGCCCTCACTGTAAGGGAATCAATAAATATCTGTTCTAGCTAGTTGAGGATCGCCCGACAGGGTGCAGCAGTGTAAACGCAGGTCTGGAGCAGGAGGTTCAAATTCCTCCCACTCCATAGCTGCTCAGGTATTAGCAAGCCCCGCCCACAGGACAGCGCACTGAAGCCCGGAAGTGAGCCACGGGGCGGGGTGGGATAAACTTCCGGGGGCGGAGCGGGGCCGGGCACAGCGCCGATTGGGCGGCTTCGGGCGGAAGTCGGGAGGTTTGGTGGTCTGAAGACGCTAGCTTGTGACTGGGAGGGGGAGAAGGAAGGCTTCTGTGAAGGATTCCTTTTCGTCCTCTCCGTCCTGGGGACCTCACAAAAAACCGACACTCCGGCCCCGCGGCTGGCCCTTCCCCCAGGCTCTCTCCGCTTGATTTCGCCACGGCCACCGTTATGTGGGAAGCGAATCTGGTGAGTAGCTGAGGGGCTGGGCTGGCCCGGTGGGCGGAGTTGAGAGGGGCGGGAGGGGTTCCCGGGAACTGCTCCCGGTGCCCTGGTCGGGCTGGGTGTTTTGAGTTCCGCATGCCTGAAGGCCCCGGCGCTTGCGGGACGTTTTGCAGTTTGTAGCCTGCGCTTTTGAGCTGTGGAGGGGTCTCAGTGGGGATCTTAACGCTTTATTGCTTTCTTTTTCCAGTTGTTTATTGTACTTCCGGTGATTTCCCCACGTTCCTTCACACCGATTTTTTTTTTCTTTTAAACTCTGTGTTATGCTTTCTAATTGGAGTTTCTGGCCTTGGAACCTGTTAGTCCCGTCCCTTTGCCTCCTGTGTCCCTGCCCGTGCCACCTGATTAAAGCGAGGGGACGCAGACCCCGCCCGTGTCCTGAGCGGACCTCAGGAACCGTCGTACTCCTTTTCCGGTCTTACGGCCCTGAAAATTTGAAGGATCTGCTGCATGTTCTAAGCCTTTAGTGGTGAGATGCCTGAGTCTGACTTCTTCAGTGGTTAGACCAGTGATCCAGAACGTGTCAGCTGCAAGTCTGTCCCCTTCATGTTCAGCGCCGATGTCTGGGTTATGTCAGCATGTGTGTGTGTCCACTTTGGTTTTATACATTCGTTTAAAGTGCAGCCTTCAAAGAGGGAATCTCTGCACCAAGAGCATTCCGTTCATCTGTTACGGTTGAAATCCACTGGTAAAATAGCAAGTGGACCCTGCTTACCACCCAGGAGTTGACGGGGAACATGACAGAATCGCATTTCAACACATTGCTGGACTCAGTACGTGAAACTATCCCATGTGCTAACTGCCTAAATGTAATAACTCAGTGTCCATACTTGAAATAACTCATTTGCTGTAAGTCATTACTCAACCCCCTTCCTGTTTCTGGAATATCTTTCCAGATAAGTAAGTTTATCAGTAAATTCTCTTGTTTTTAGATTTGTACCCAGTAGATCCCAGTTTATTGATCTGGATTTGTTAGTTGCACGGTTATAGTTCATCCCAGTCCATCCTATAACAGTAGTCATCATCAAAGACTTTTTTTTTTTTTTTTTTTGATATCAGAGATCGAACTCAGGACCTTGGGCTTGCGTGGCAGTTGGCAGCACCACTGAGCTAAATCCCCGGCCCTATCAAAGACTTTTTTGGGCCATATGTATAATAGTGTTATCAAGTCATATTTGAGAAAAGAAATTGCTTATATTTGACTTTAGCAGAAATAATTTAGAATTATGAGAATGTATTCTGTTTATATTTACTTATATGTAGTTTCTCTCATCAGTATTCATTTTATATCTATATGTCTTTGTGTACCTCTATGTGTGTGCATATAGATACATATACCGTTTTATTAGCAGTCCTTATTTTTTTCTGGTACTGGGGATTGAACGTGGGACCTTGCACTTGTGAGGCAGGTGCCGGAACCACTGAGCTAAATCCCCAGCCCAAGTAGTCCTTTTATTTCTCCATAACCCTTTGGTCACCCACATACATGTCTTGCTCAAGGTCATATATTTTAAATTGTTTTCTTGTAAGCTCCATATGATCATGATTTTTGTTATATTTACTGTAATATTTCAACTAGAGAACAGGTCCTGGTACATAATAAATATTTGTTGAATTGTCAATGGTGATTGAATCAATATTGTACTAGAGAGAGTTTTTGCTTTCTTCATTCATTCTTCTACATTACACATGTGTACATCACAATTTGCTATTAAGCTGTATCTATGTTTGTGAAAATTATAGAGGCATTAGTGAATGTCTTGTGTATTTGATTTGTCACATTGTCCTACCTTATAAGGAATGTTCACTTTTCTCTAAAATCCCCCTGATGGTTTTCCTTAGTTTCAGCAGAGCAGGCTTGTTTTTTTAATAGTGAGCTTCTATATATAATCCTACATTCTTTTTACCCTATGCCATTCTAATATGGCATAATGCTAGTTTTGTTTACCTACTGATACTGCCTTTCTTTCTGTGATTTTTTTGAATACTGTCAATAAGCACAATGTAGTTTTTATGTTTTAGTTTAGCTTTTAAAAACATTGTACTTGTGGGTTTCTCTAGTACTTTGTTAGTTTTTTTTAAATAGGATCACTGGATAGTCTGTTCAGCTGTGCTTATTGAGTACAAATTGATTTTAATGCTATCTTAAGCCATATATAATTGAGAAGATTTTTAAAAATTACTAAAACATTCACAGTGTTTTAAATTTAAATTGGCCAATTTAAATCTTGCTTCACCATTTCCTTCCACTGCATGAGGTAAATACTGTTTTGTGAAGGAGGCCAGTTCTTAACTACTTCAGTTGAAGAGTTTTGTCTAGTTTCTTTCTGTATAGTTTTGGTAACATCTGTGACTTTGCTGTTTCCTATGACTTGCAAATGTATTTTCTCTTGCTTCTGTTGCAAATATACCTGCATACTGTGTTCCACTCACAAATGTGTAAACCTGGTCATGACCCTACTCAGAAACAACCTTCCATTCCATGTGAAAAGTCTCCAAGAAATGGTTTGAATATGGAAAATCACTAACTTGCAGCATTTCCTTGGAGGAAAAAAACCCAACGTAACATAACCAAGGGGTGGTAAATAAATAAATGTCTCAGTTCATTATTTTGTTTTATTTTTTAAGACAGAGCTAAGGTCTAGGATGATTTTGTTCACAACTTTCACTGACCAGGAACCCTCGGGTAAGCAAAAGGATCCTGCAAGTCAGGTCAGATTGACAGTTGTCAGGAGAGCTCTTGACATTTCTCCGTCCACTAAGGAGGGAGCCCATGACTAACATCTCCCATTCAGGAGAGTGGACAGTCTGTTGGAAGCAGCTAGAGGGGTCACCATTAACTCTCTGAACCCTGACTTTGTCCTGCTTTTCTCTGTCTCTTTGTCATTGCCTTATCTCTCTTTGCTAGAGTTATATTAGACAGGAGGGAGTTTTAACTTTTCCCTGTCAAACTGATGAAGGCAACTGCAAAATGACAAGAGTAGAGGCTGCTCAAGAGTACTCAAGAGTACAGGCTGTCTATTGCACTAAAATACTTCATAGAAAATGCTAAACTCTTCCAAGATTCTTTTCCATTTATTAACTACTAAGGTTAGAATAACCCAGTGAGTTAGCTAAGGGAGAGGAAAATAATTTTCCAAGGTCATGCAGGGATTAAACAGCATAATTGTGTTAACACCCAAGGCCCTTTCCACTCTGCTTGGGATGGCAGTGTATTGTGTGTTGTGCTGGGCCTTATCTGCAAAGCCACTGCATTCCAGCTGCTTCTCAACTCTCTTGGAGTTAGGATTCTATCTCCATTTTCTCGGAAGTCGCTTGAAAGAACAACCCTGCACTGTTTGTCTTTCTGTCCTGTACCTCAGCATCTTCGGTCCAGCACGTGCCTTAGCACTTTGCTTGCTGGAGCTCCCCAGGAGTTTTGACTCTCCACAGCCTCTGTAATGCTCCTGTTTCCCATGCCCTGCCCTTCGTGGTGCTCTGGGAACTGGATTGCTTTGGATTTCTTCTTTCTGTGATTTACCCTTGAATTATAACCCTGATTGTGCTGCATCATCCCTCTCTTATGGCTGAAATGTTCTGCCTTTAATCTTTTCTCCCTAGCACATCCTTTATTTGTGATCTGTAATGTTTCAAAATGTTACTGCAGTGAATGTGCCTGCCAAGTGTACATCTTCAGTCCTGACCCCTTCTTGAGCTGGGTAGTAGACAACTGCTGCTTGTCCCTCTGATAACACAGACTTGTATAAGCTAGACTTACTGGGTTATTAACTCATTTCACTCAGCAGACTGTTGTACCAACGCATGCAAAATAAACACTAGGAAGGGAGTATAGACATGGGCCCATTCAGAGCCTACCCTGCAGGGGGCTTGCAGTATAACAGAAAGTGATGTCTGAGGGTGTCAGGGGGACTAGTAGATTACATTTGAGCCAGGTCTTCAAGATACACAAGTGGGCAAATGGGAAGATGGAAGGAAGCAAATAACCAAAGCCTGTGAAAGTGAGAGAGTGGTAGGTTCATTTTAGACTAAGGAGTGAAGTGGAGAAGTATGTATCTGATAATTAAAGCCTCAGTATGGGCTTCAGCTGAGAATGCAGGTGGGGGTGTGTGGGCAGTGCTAACTTTTATGGAAAATCTCCTCAGAGTCTGACAGTGTATTTGCAGATATTTACAGGCTGGGGTGAGGATAGACAGGATGTGTTCCCAGAACTGAAAATTCTGTAGAGAACATAGTGCTTGTGAGGATGTGTTACTGATATTGTAATTTATGATCTAGGGCCAACATACAGTCAAGGAGTCATTCACTGATATCTTTATTTTCTTGGCATTATTTGTAATTGTTCTAACAGTGATTAGTTAAACCTCGAGTAAAACCCATGTCCACTTGAGGCTCAAAACAATCAAACTAAAGAGGACAGGGAAACCCCTCATTAGGAAAGTAAGATGTTCATGCAGCAGAGTGCCCATAGAAACAGAAGTAGGGTAGGGTTAGGGCAGTGCTGAAGTAAGGCATGCTTGCCTTGGGTTATCTAATACCTCTGTGACATGGGGTTGTTAAGTTATTGTCATCAGTTTTAGTACCTGTACTGAGGGTCACAACTTGCTGAACTCTGAAAAAGGGCAGGCAAGGTTTTAAATCTAGAACTTTCTGGCTCTAAAATACACACTCTTTTCAGACTAACTAAGGGTATAGGATATGCTGTGAGTAGAAACAACCTAGTAAAATCATCAGGAGCCAGAAATTATGGAGGGGTCCCTAAGCTGCAGAATGAGCATGACTTGTGAAGGCAGCTGGGTCCTTTTTTCCAGTGGTGCAGCACATGAACAACAGTAGAGAAATAGTGTGTCCATCCCTCGGATTGGCGTGGCAGATCCAGTGCACAGTCAAGGAATTAGGTTCAGTCATTTTCTTTATCAGAGAGGGTAGCAAGATCTGGGATGTTTTGTAGTACAGATCTGAAGGAATAG